CGCTATGGTTTTGGGGTGTTGGGTCATCTGCCCTCCTGCTAATTTCAGCTTATGGACTTGCGCGTTTCTCCTCCATGTATGAGGGTTCCCTCTGTGAAATCGGCCAGGGCGGTCAGGGTTCTGCGGATGTACTGCAATTGGTTCTGGTTGCCATTGTAGTGGTGATGGTACATTTGTGTTTTTTTTTTGTGTGTTTTCATCCCGGTGCCCCATTCTGAGTGTGCTGTTTCCCGTCCCGGCGGTCAAGCGGGGGGGGGGGCGTATAGGTAGCATCCGTGGGTGTTGGCTACTGTCTGTGTAGGTGCCGTTCGTGTGTATTTGCCTCCCTGTGCCTAGTGAGTCAGTGGGGACTGAGTGCCATTTCTAATTGCGTAGTGCATAGGTAGATGCGTGAGGCTGTGGATGGTTGCAGTCTGTTGGGGGCCTCATGCACCACCCCCAATCACTAGGCGTGATTTCCTTGTTGTCTTGTTTATTTTTTTTTTTTTCCCCCGGGTGCCTCCATCCCTCTCTCCCAATCATATACAGTATCCCTCCCGTCATGCGGGCCCTCCCTTGGTTGTGTGCTGTCAGTGTGTTTTTGTCTACCTGTGCCTATCGAGTCATTGGGGGGGCTGAGTGTTGTGTCTAGTTGCGTGGTGCAAGAGTTGGGCACCTAGAAGCGTAAGGTTGTGGTTGTTTGCTGTTGGTCTGGGGCCTAGCGTCCGACAGGGGGCACCCTCCACAGGCGTTTCGTGTGATGTCCTTATTGTCTTGTGCATTCTTTTTCCCCAGTGCCTCCCCCCATACATGAGCTGCATCCCTCCCGTCATGGGGGCCCTCCCATGATTATATGCTGTCCGTGTCTTTTTGTTTTCCCGTGCCTATGAAGTCGTTGGGGGGCTGAGTGCGGTTTCTATTTGCACGGTGCGCAGGTGGGGTGAGTAGAAGCGTAGGGTCGTACATGGTTGCTGCCCGTCGGGGGCATGGCGTCCGTCGGGAAGCCCCTCTTCCAGGCCTTAGGAGTTTAAGCATGCGTGGGATAGGCATAAGGCTATCCTAACTATAAGATAAGACTAGGGACTAATGAAAGTATTTAGAAAATTGGGCAGACTAGATGGGCCGAATGGTTCTTATCTGCCGTCACATTCTATGTTTCTATGTTTCTTAGGCATGATGTCTGTATTGTCAAGTTTGTTCTTTCCCCGAATACCTTCCTTCCCTCCCAAACATGTATAGCGTCCCTCCCGTCATGCGGGCCCTTCCGTGAATGTCCACTTCCTTTTGTTCCTGCCCCTGCTTGTAGCTTTAATTAGTGATTCCAGCTGCTAGTGTCAAGGAAGGTGGGCGGTCAGTTTCATAGTTCTTATGTTGCTGGTGTCCACCTTCCCGAATGCTGTATTGGTGTGGTGCCCTTGTATTTTGGGGTTGTCTAGGGCAGGATGATGTTTGTGTTGCTTACCGAGATTCAGAATGCCAGAGTCCGAGTGAGGATGTCGGGTGGTGTGGGAGGCCGTCTGCAATCAGGATCGTGGTGGATTTCTTTTATTGTCAGGAGTGGTGTCTGGGAGATGTGCGGTCCATGTGGGGCCCGGCCTTCAATCGGTGTGGTTACTCTTCAGGTTGGGCCAGGTCTGGCCTCCAGCCGTGTTCCGACGTTTCTCTGCCTCGGCGGCGTGGTGGTCTCTGTGGTTGTGGCCTGAGCTCCAGGGGGTGTAGTATTCAGTTTTGGACTGTAATGCTGGGTAGTTCTAGCTTTTGCAGGAAGGTGGGGATGTCTTCTGGACTTCGGCCGACACCATTGCGTGGCGGTGACGTATATTAATGCTGAAGGGGTATCCCCACCTGTATGGAATGTTTCTGTCCCGCAGTGCTGTTGTCACTGGTCTCAGGGCACATCTGGCGTCGAGGGTTAGCGGTGACAACTTGTTGTATAGGGTTACCTCTGCGCCCCTGTCCAGTGGGTGCGGGCCTTCTGCATAATCTGGTCCTTGAGTGGGTAGGAGTGAATACAGCACATTATATCGCGGATGCTCCGTCGGCTGTCTGTGGTCTGAGTGCGCTCTGTCAAATCTAAAGTGGTCTGGTGCTTCCTCGCGGAGGATGATCCGGAAGTGCTGGGCAAGGGTTTCTGCCACATTTCCCCCTGTGCTGTCTGCCTCTGGGACTCCGCGCACCCTTATGTTGTTGTGGCGGCCCCTGTTGTCGAGGTCTTCTAGTTGCCGCCGCATGACCAGCAGTAGGTCCCCCTGACGTTGTATGGCAGTGTCTGTGGCCTTGAGTTTTTTCTCGGTGGTTTCTTTGCGTTGCTCCATAGCGGCTATGCGTGTGTTGTGGAGCGCAATGCCATCTTTCAGGCCTGCCTCCTCTGTTTTAAGTGCGGCATGCAGGGTGTCAGAGACCCGGTGGAGGTCCTCTTTTGTGAACATCAGGGCTGTCATGTGCCTCAGTTCGGCCCCGATGTCGGCCAGAGTGATGGGTTCCCCGCCTGAGCAGGAGGATGCCGGCGCCATGTTGGGCGCGATAGCCTCCCGCCAGGGGTCAAGTCCTGTGGAAAAAAGTGTGGGAACTCACCCAAGATTCCCGCTTCACCCCCCCCCCTTAAAAAAAAAAAAATTACATTCCTATGCATATAGTGCAGTGCAGGGTGTGTATAATGAATGTAGTGTGCTTGTAGTGAATGCAGAGTATGAATTATAAATGTAGTGTGTTTGTAGTGAGTGCAGTGTGAATAATAATTGTAGTGTATTTGTAGTGAGTGCAGAGTGTGTATAATGAATGCAGTGTGTTTTAGTGAGTGCAGAGTGTGTATAATGAATGTAGTGTATTTGTAGTGAGTGCAGTGTGTATAATAAATGTAGTGTGTTTGTAGTGAGTGCAGTGTGTATAGTGAACGCAGTGTGTGTATAGTGAATGTAGTGTTTTTGTAGTGAGTGCAGTGTGTATAATGAATGCAGAGTGTGTATAGTGAATGTAGTGTGTTTGTAGCGAGTGCAGAGTGTGTATAATGAATGTAGTGTGTTTGTAGTAAGTGCAAATTGTGTATAATGAATTTAGTGTGTTTGTAGTGAGTGCAGAGTGTGTACAATGAATGAAGTATGTAGTGTGTTTGTAGTGAGTGCAGAGTGTGTACAATGAATGCAGTGTATGTAGTGTGTTTGTAGTGAATGTAGTGTGTAGTGAGTGCAGAATGTGTATAATGAATGCAGAGTGTGTATAGTGAATGTAGTATGTTTGTAGTGAGTGTATAGTTAATGTAGTGTGTTTTTAGTGAGTGAAGAGTGTGTATAATGAATGCAGTGTGTGCGTGTGCTGGATGATGTGTGTGTGAGTGCTGGATGAAGTGTGTGTGACTGCGTGTGCTGGATGATGTGTGTGTGTGAGTGCTGGATGAAGTGTGTGTGACTGCGTGTGCTGGATGATGTGTGTGTGTGAGTGCTGGATGATGTGTGTGTGACTGCGTGTGCTGGATGATGTGTGTGTGACTGCGTGTGCTGGATGATGTGTGTGTGAGTGCTGGATGATGTGGGTGTGTGAGTGCTGGATGATGGGTGTGTGTGTGAGTGCTGGATGATGTGTGTGTGAGTGCTGGATGGTGTGTGAGTGAGTGCTGGATGATGTGTGTGTGTGCTGGATGATGGGTGTGTGTGTGAGTGCCGGATGATGATGTGTGTGTGTGTGCCGGATGATGGTGTGTGTGTGCTCTGGATGATGTGTGTGTGAGTGCTGGATAATGTGTGTGTGAGTGCTGGATGATGGGTGTGTGAGTGAGTGCTGGATGATGGGTGTGTGAGTGAGTGCTGGATGATGGGTGTGTGAGTGAGTGCTGGATGATGGGTGTGTGTGTGCTGCATGATGGGTGTGTGTGTGCTGGATGATGAGTGTGTGAGTGCTGGATGATGGGTGTGTGTGTGCTGGATGATGGGTGTGTGTGTGCTGGATGATGGGTGTGTGAGTGCTGGATGATGGGTGTGGGGGGGAGCATTTTTTTTAACTTTATGTGTCTATATTTTTTTATTTTATTCCCCCCTCCCTGCTTCTTACCTTGTCAGGGAGGGGGGAGATCGCCTGGTGGTCCGGTGGTATGCTGGAGGGAGCCAGCCGCTGCAGAGAGGGGCCATCACACGCTGTGTTCCCTCTCCAGCTCTAACTCTCGCGAGACTCGCCTGTGCGGAGCGTTGCCATGGTAACAGCCGCGGGTCTCGCGAGAGTTGTAGCTGGAGAGGGAACACAGCGTGTGCTGGCCCCTCTGTGCAGGTAGCAGGGCCGGTCCTGCAGGACAGGTAACGGCGTTCCTGCAGGACTCGAGCCCTGCCTCCCGCGTGTGACCGGCCGGTGTGCCCAGATATTCAAACATCTGGCCCGTTTGTGAGTGCGGCTGTTTGGTCCTGGGGGTCTGTGGGGTGTCTATCTTCTTTGTTCTCCCCATTAGTGTGCGGATGTTAGGCTTCGGTGTGCTAATTTTAGCTGGGTGGTCTGGAGCCGCGGAGTTAAGCAGCCGCCATAATTGGAGTCCAGGACACGCCCCGGATTATTTTGTATATGTCTTACAATACATGGTATCTCTCTCTTATATTATCTTCATGTTATTCTAGAACCATTTCTCGTCAGGAAGTTTTTTCATAGCTATATGCCTTTAATTGTTCTTACTAGCATTATCACACTTCTCCAACGGGCCGTTTTTTTCCCGCAGGATTTTTCACCTGCCCTCCCTCAGTTTTCATTCAGACCGCAATTGAGCATTCACGGACTCCATTTCCCAAAGGAGACCATTGGGTGCTTTTGCGCCCTTTTCCACCGCCTTCAGTGTGGGCTCTGACGCGATAGCGCCGCCCCCCTTTACTCGCGGTGGCCATTTTTTTCCACTGTCGCCCGTTTTTCTACCGGCTTCTGGTGTTTATCTCCGGTTAGGGGAAAAACCTGTGGGCACTTATTCTGCCTTACCGGAAGGTAAGTTTTCTCTTCAGTCAAAATATCTTTGGATTTTTCGAACAAACAGTAATCCTCCATTCAAAAAATACTGATACAAACACATTTCTCTATCTTTTGCAGGTTGATCCAAAAAAGGCCTACCTGCTCAAACTTCTTTCCCTCAAACTGTTATTTTGTGGCTAACCCCATTTATTAAATATATTTGTGTGGCTGACACCACCTTTGTTTTATTCTGTGGGTGACCCTCACTTTATTATTGAATATACACTCTATATTTGTGGCTACCACCTGTGTTTATTCGGTGGTTGACCCTCACCTCATTATCTATTATTTCTTGCACTAAGTGGTTAATCACCATCTCTAGTTATTTTGGGTGCCCCTCTTTTATGACTTGCAGTGGTTTTTTTTCTACATCAATCTGTATTTTTGGGTGACCCCCATTTTATAACTTACAGTGATTGTACCTCACTAACTGTATTGTGGGTGACCCCCACTATTCTATTATTCTAGCTGAGTTGCCTCATTTTTCAACTGCCAATTCTGACTTTTGCAATATTAATATCTACTATTACGGTAGTTGTGAATCTGTCTTCATTTTCATTTTATATTATTTTAAAAGTATAGACATTATGTCTGATCACCAACAGCCTGCTATATCTGCTGAACTAAGGGCATGTACTATTGTGGAGTCCATACCTAAGGCTTTAGCGGCCTTTCATGAACAAGCTTCTTCTGAAGCTCACCCCCACACCAGCCCTCTGACTTGGAGGATGCCCACCTTTCAGACCTAAAAGGTGCCCCGCACAAACGACCCTGGAAAGGGGATAGTGCTACTGCAGGCAAGGGAAAAGCTCTTGCAAAATATTTAGGCCATCCCTGCCACACACTATGCAAGATTCCACTGACTCTCTTGAGGGATCTACCTCTCGACTAGCTGGACATATTTTAAATGATTATGATGCTATCTACTTTGATGAGGACCCCAAGGCGAATGTGCCCCAGGATTCCTCTACATCAGCGTTTGTTAAAGAGACCTTTATTACACATGCTCACTATACTAAAGGGTGATCCCCTATCTAAAGAGCCTTCTTCAGACGCCCTCCTGGATGCTTCAGGCCTCCTATTTTTTGATCCAAGAGTGATTCGTCACCCACGATCTGCAAAATGGGCCCCTCCTGATCATATTGCCAGTTTTTGTAAAATGTGGCTACGCAAGCCCTTGGAGAAGGAAATTAGAAACAAACTTAGGGCTGAATTCCAAGGCCAACTATCCCAGGCAAAGTTGCCTCCACTCCAGAATTTGATCCCATGCTAGTCACCTTCTTAACCAAGTCCGGCAAAGACCCTCGTAAGGGTATTTAGACAAACTTCTGGACATTGCAGGACCTATAATCCAAATTTTTAGCATATGAGGCACTCACTAGTGGTGAATTTGACCCACACACTGTACGAGAATGGACTCCGAGAGCTCTATGCTCCTGGGCAACGCCAATGTGGCAATTTCTACCGAAAGACGGCACTTTATAAATTGATGCCAAACTAGTAGACTCCAAAGAATTGGGACCCAAAGCCGATGGCCTTTTGTTCTGTGACAGTTTTATGCGAGACCTCTCCAAGCACGTCTGTTTTTACCACCTTAAATAAAGCCCAGTCATCACTACGCAGGGTCTTTCGCTCCCAAACTCAACGTTTTTCCGGGAGAGTTGGTCGCTACAGGGACCGAGCTACCAGTATAGCAGCCTTCACAGACCTCACCCCACAGACTATTGGTCCTCAGGACCCACTTGACCCTATTGCAGGCAGTTATTCAACACCAGAGGATCTATTCGAGGATGTGGTTCTGCCTCCCTGCGCAGACGCCCTGCTTCAGGTAATGAACCTTACGTATATAAAAAATTTACCAATTGCAGGTTGATTAACACTTTTTTCCCCCCAACAGTGGAAACTACTTTCTCAGGATCACTGGATCCTTCATACGGTCAGGGGTTTCAAAATAGATTTCCTCACACACCCCATACAATGCTTTCCTCCGACACCTCTCTGGATGTCGTAACAGACGAGCTAACCTTAAACTCAGAGTTACACAAACAGGACAAAGGGGCGATCAAACAATCGCCTTTCCCTTGCACCTTCCTCAGCAACATTTTCCATGTATGGAAAAAGACGGGAGACCACCGTCCTATCATCAATCTCAAAAATCT